TTGTATTGTGGAATTCTAGAATAAAGTGCTTTAGCACCGGTACTTTGCAAGTACCACCTATACTATTCTTGCTATAACACCCATGCTATTTTTTTAGCACTAGTAATTTGCAAATAACACTCATGCTACTTTTTCAACACCCATGTTGCTTTTCAGCACTTGTTCTTTTCGTGTGTTCTTTTCTTTTGAATATGCATCTTCACTCTTTGACACTCCTTTACCATCTATACTGAGGTATCAACACCAGTATTAATTTATCTTTCTTCAAAAATTCTAGTGTCTTTTACATGTTTCAACGGAAAGCTCTGATACTTTCTCTCCAGCTTTGTTCAACTTTCTCTCTAAAAGAAATCATCCAAGTTATTTTAACACTTGTGCTATCTATTAGCATCAATACTATTCTTCAAAGCTTTGAAATAGAAGATTTCGTTCAAGTTACATTAACACCAACACTTTTTATCCACACCTGTGCTGTAAATCCTCATTTGAGAAAAAACACTTATTTTCATAAAATGAAAAATATCATTGTCATTTACGAAGAGCCCTATTCTGATACTATCAAAGCAACACCTGTATTATTTTCATGTGCTATCATTATTTCTCATCACAGCACTAGTACTATTGCAAATAGCACCAGTACTAAATTGATTTTTCATGCTCTGTTTTTGGGTCTCAATCCTAAACTCTTTGAAACTCATTTCCTAGCCATTCTTTTAATCTACAGTCAACTATATTCACTTAATAACCTTCCTAGAATCTATCTAAACACAATTATTGCTTGGATCAAACTCTTTGTGATTCATTCTTGATTTACACCACCTGTGCTAAAATGCTACATTGGTATAAACCTTTACCTACTTTTGTCAGAGCACTAAATGAGTGAATACCGTTATATTTGTTTTTGGTTCCAACAAATAAACCCATCTGAAAATATGCTAGTTCCTTCTATCCTTTTTGGGTAACAATGCCGTTGCAAAGCTACATTAACAAACAATGTTAAAGATCGAACAACAACAAAAATTGCTTGTGTCTAACGGATATTTTACAAGACACAAAAAAGAACTCTATCAAAAGTATTAAATAGGCTTATACTTTATGGAGAAGATCAGAAGAGAGAAGGAGACTATTCCAACGGTTATTCTAAATGAGTCTAACAGATCATTTATCAACTCCAACTATAAAAGGACTCATCTATAAAGATCAAAGCTAAGAAGTGAGTGACACAAGCTATGATATTCAATACTTTTGACTACTCTCTGTATTTGTCTCAAATATTATTATACTTCAATGTGTTCATGTACTCAGTAAGTGAGTTTGTATCAAGATCACTTTGTGATCAAAATCTCTCTATCATTTATCTGAGCAGACTTAAGATCAGGGGATCTTAAGTGGGTACTAAAATTATCTCTGTGAGGGGGAGAGAAACAGACTTGTAAATTTGAGAGATTATAAGTGGCTTCACGAGGGCCCAGATTGAACCTGTGGGATTTTTGTAAAGGAAAGTGATACAGACATTAAGTCTGAGATTGTACTATGGCTTCACAAGTGCCCAAATCGAACTTGTGATTATAGTGAAAAATCTCCAAGAATTTCTGGGGACTGGACATAGGCCAAGTGAATTGGGCTGAACTATAATAAATTCCCTGTATATTGTTTTTATCTCTCTCATCTTCATCTATATTATTTTATCCTTTCATCATTTATATTCCAAATTTCTATAGTCAAAAGCTTTAAGTGAAAAATTAGAAGATATTTAATTCACCCCTTTCTTGAAGGACCAATATATCTTACAGCTATGATATGCCAAATTTAAAACTCATTTCTCATTTGACTCAATAGGCTGGTCGGCCTTCATAAGCCATAGTTTTGTTTGCTCTATGTACCCCCACAACGCGTTCGAGCAAGATAGACTTGAAGTCACAGGCTAGGATATCAATAGCCTGCCTAACCGAGAAATTAAATACAATTCTTTCTCTTCGATCGAGCAAAGCGGTTGCATCATCAGTGACATAATTAAAGGTCAAGCAACAACCTCTCTCATTGGACCTCATTAGCATCGTCAAAGTGAAATCATTTTAGGATCGAAAATAATGTTCAACGACAAGAACGGACGCATGCACATGAATTTAGTTCTCGCATCGATAGTCCAGATCGATTTTTGCGCATGCCCTTTCTTCATTTTATTCTAGAGGCATTTTGATCAATTGCTTTATAAAATTATTTTCATTTCAATCTCATTTACTTGAAATGTGTTTTAAGATTTGTTTGGTCCTGCTTTTTTATTAATTCTCTACAAAGGTCTTATTATGAAATTCTCTTTTTTTATAAATAGGTATTGCATTTCATAAATGCACGAGTCGTAACAAGTAATATAAAATGAATAGAATATCTTTTCAAAAGAGATTTATATTAAAAATATGATCAAAAAAAGAACATTGCTAATCCAATTAAGTTGAGCAAATCTGAATTATAATAGGTGTTTTAAAATATAAATTAAACATGTAAAAAATACTAAAAAAAAGTAGAAAATAAATATGTTAGGTACTTTTTGAAAGTAATTAGGCTTAGAAATATGTATCCTCCTTTATTCTTCAAGAACACTCAATTAACTCCCAATATATTTTTCTCTTAATGATGAATTATGCTAGTCAAGGATACTAAATTGCCCACAAGTGCTTTCTCTCAAGTCTCCAAATAGGTGTTTAGTTTAATTAATTTATTAATCTTTTAATTAACTAATTAAACTCTAATTTTTATTGTAAATCCTATGTGACTATGTGAAGTTATTAAATATCTCACACGATTTAACTTGTAAATTTCAAATTCTCACACGATTTAACTCAAGTTTTACACTCAACCTACCTTTTTCAAGTATCAATCAAATAAACCCAATAATTCAATTAATGGCCAATCAATTAAACGTATTAAGCATAGAGTAAAATCAACATAATCACATTATTAATACAAATACAAAGTGAAAATAAATATTTAATTCATAAAAAGGTTCAAAATAATTCTAGAATCAAGAGCTTAGCTACAAAAGTTCATAAAACCCATGGAAAAATATAAATATATCAACACAAACATTGAATAAGAAAAAGGAAGGAGAATGGACAAAAAGAACTAAGATATGAAGCAAAAATCCCTTTCAATCTTCAAACCCAAACTCAATCTTCACCAAAATTCAAGCCCTAACAGACCTAAGAATTCCCAAATACTCCTAAGAAGTCTAGAATGATGGTCTTGACAAAAAAAAAATGACCTTTATATATTCCAAAACCCTAACTTTATCAGCTAAAAAAAACATATCATTTTCTTACAATGTGGAAAGTCACAAATAAAGTTCGTGACTTTGGTTGTAACTTTGCTTTGTTTTGTGTGCTTCTCCCATTTGGCTTGATTGTTCACCTTTGCACCATATTTCTTCATTTTAATACCTTCCAAAGAATCACTTAACATCCAGAAATGCCCCCATCATAACCTTAAACAAAAATATTAATAAATTAACTTCAAACTATCAAAATAAAGTCATGGTGTGAATTTCTAAAAGAATATACACAATTTCTTAACTTGAGTATTCACAATATGTACAATTGTGTTAAAATATATTAAAATTCAAGAGAAATTTGCTCCAATGATATGAAATTTTAGAGGTTGACAATAGGATGGGAAAGAGTATATGAATCAACTGAAGTCATTTATTTGTTGGCACTTTGAAATTTTAATTGAATTTAAGGCCCTCATCCTGTCCTTGGAGGGGACATTAATAAAATCAATTTTTCTCAATTGCTTTTAGGTAAATTATATTATTTGGTTAAATCTTTTTATTTTTTTTACAGGAATTCGAAAAAAAAGAAATAATAATGTCACATGTATCCTAAAACCATTCATAATTTTCTAGGTATAAAATAACATATAGAGCAAAACCCTATTCTACCATCTCTTACGCAAAACGGAGTGATTCTTTCAGTTACTTAGCTTCCTTGGGCTGCGAGTCCTGTCTCTATTCTACTGACTGCACTCACTCTTGGTTCTAGTTTGGGTTTTGTTTCATCTCCTACGATCGCGATCAACTCATGGACCTTTAAATTTACTTGCAGGTACTCAGAGATTTACAATGCAGTGTTGTTCAATGATTTCTTCCAAGCTGGAGGATGTATGAAGAAACTGCTACCTTATTATATCTTCATCACTTCAAATGAAGCAATGGTTAATCACTTAATCTATTCTTACGGGAATATCATGCATGCTTCATACTCTTTAAGTTCCTAGGGGAGTTTGAATTCCAAGAGGTTTAGAAGCATTTTTACAACTCAGCGCTCTATCAGCTTTGTTTTCTTCTCCTGTTTAAAGGTTTTCATACTAGGAGGAGAAGGCGACAGGGTTTGGTCGATCATTAGGACGAGGTTGGAGTTGGAAAGCGAGAAAGAAGAGAAGAAAATTACAATTTTTTTAAAAAAAATAAAAATAAAAAGCATAGGTTAACTCGAGCTAGGGTTATATTAAAATAGACCTGTATTTAAATGAGCTTCACTTTTACTAATCTAACTTGCCACTTTTTGACAGATTGACGGGTTCATATTGCCAGGTCTATTTCCAAATTAGCTACTTGGAATATTTCCTTCAAGTTGTTATTGTATTGTTTTTATTTCACTACAGTTGCTAGTGTTTATTTTTGCCTTCTGAGTTTGGGCCAATGATTTTTTGACCCCATTGGCCAATTTTTTTATTGCAATATTTTGCTACCAATGTTTGTTGTTGTTTTTTTTTTTTTTTTTGTTTTATGGACCTAAGGAGAAATATAACTAACCTTCCATGGCCTTTGATACCTGTGTTTAATGGAATTTGACTTTTATTTTTTAAAAAACAAGGCTGGTTATCGCCACTCATGTTAGAATATTCTAACAATGTGAAAAGTGATAAAATATGAAATGTGATAAAAAAAAATGATAAATTCATGTGATTATAACAATGTAATGGAGAACGAGACACGGGGAACTTTCATGGCCAATAATTTCTAGTCATAAAGGAATATACACTTACATATGAACTTATAATCACAGAATCTAGTATATATAAATCCGTTTTAATTTTCAAAAGAATTCAGCTTTACTATCTTTTGCTACTGCTTCAAAGACAGTCAATTCATTAATTGATTTAGTTTCCATCTGCAATATTCTTTCATTGGCTTCTTCCACCTCATTTGCTCTAGAAAATGCAGGTTTCTTTGGGAATGTCAGATTACTTTCACTTTTCAACATTGAAGAAATTTCCAACATAGAAGGCCTGTCATTTGCACTTTCTTGCACGCATAACAGAGCAACATGCATGCACCTCAACAATTTACATGGTGAAAATGAGTCATCAAGACTAGAATCCATAAACTCCATGCCTCTGCCTTCTTTCTACAGTTCATAAGCCTAACGATGTTAACATTCACGTACCATATTAATAGCACATAAACTTAATCTTAAACAAACAACAGATTAAGACATCAAGACATTATTAGTAGAGCCGGTCAACAAAAGATAAGTACATTAAACCAATTATGAAAATAGTACAGGTATGTCAATCATAATTTTAGTTGAGTCCACAGACAGTAAGCTTATATATATATATATATATATATCTTCATAGTTGTCTTTCTCTGCTCAACTTTTGTAGAATGTGTCTATTTAAAAAATCCCACTAAGATCTTTCCTTTTAACAAAGTTGAAGAAGTTACTTACATATCCTGTGATGTTTAAATCTTCATGTTCACCATAGAAACTTGCTGTCCTCTTGCCACTTATAATTTGCAGAAGCAAAACTCCAAAGCTATACAAATTAGACTTTGTGGAGCATAGGCCCTTTTTTACATATTCAGGGAAACATAACCACTGCATCAAAAAAGTAAAGCAAAAGGAATTTGGTATAAGAATGGATGTATGGCGAAGTAATGTAGGCAATCTTTAAGGAGCCAAACACTCACTAGGGTCCGCCTATCTTGCCAGTGTTTGCTTCAAGCTCATTCTTTGCAAATATTCTTGCCATACCAAAATCTGAAATTTTTGGCTTTAAGGCATCATTCAACAAAGTATTGCTAGCTTTTATGTCTCTATGAATTATTGTCAACCTTGAGTATTCTTGTAAGTAAAGAAGCCCTTGAACAATCCGTTCCATGATGTCAACTCGTTTTTTCTAATCAAGTAGATACTGTCTTATAGGATCTGTATCAAAATTAGATAGCACACAGTTAGTTGTATCCTAGACCCATAAAACAACGACAACCACAGGAATCTCATTTCATAGGTTTAAATATGGATTTTATCTTTTAACACTGACTCATACTATGACGCCTATCAATTATATGCAAGTACAGGGCTGCTAAGAGTAATTGCTAACCTAATAAGTAGAAGTCAAGGCTTTTCTTTGGCATGTACTCATAGATCAGCATTTGTTCATCTCTGTCAATGTAGAACCCCAAGAGCCGAACAAGATTCACATGTTGTAGTCTTGCAGTAAGTGTTACCTCATTTTTTGAATTCCTCAAATCCTTGTGCGGAAGCTTTTGATAGCTTTTTCACAGCTATTTCCTGGCCATCCGCTAATATGCCCTGAAGAAATAAGTACTACTTGTTAGGATCTTAAAATAATATCAACGAATATTCTAGCCCTCCAATATATCCTTCCTAGCACCACTGGCGGAGGTAGATATAATTGAGGGGGGGCACATGCACCCCATCAGATTTTGAAAGTTATGCAAATGTGGGTATTAATCCTCATCTGATGCCCCCACTTCTCCTTTAATTTGCACCCTCCATTAAACAGTTTCTATATTAAATAATAAATAACCATTATTTAAATTGGTAATTCTAACTTGTTCTTTCTTTTCATCCACCAGCATTTGAACATTGTTATTTTAGATCTCAATACTAATTTGTTCTACTTTTATACAATATGTATATCTAAAATATAAGAGAAAATTGTTATTGTGAAAGTAATAATATTCATCTAAAATTTATGCATAAAATCTTTTATTTTCCTGACATGACATATTAAATCTTTAATCATAATAAATTGTGATTAATATAAGATATTTATCATATAAGACCTTCTAAATTATAAATGATACGTCTGTGTGTACAATTTTATATAATTATTTATTCTTAAAAAATATATTGCACCTCCTAATCTCAGGTCCTGACTACACCACTACCTAGCACCATTTCAAAACCAGAGAGAATGGAGGGTATCAAAACTTCAACTCCTAACCCTTTGGTAATAGTGATTCAATTACTATGGAAAGTAGCTTTTGGTTTAAAAAATTTAAACTAGTTTAAAGACACTCAATTAGTTTTATTATAATATAACATAAAGCTAATGACAGAACACTATCTTTTCATGTGCTACTTTACTGCTCTGCATGTTGTCTACCTATGAAGAATAAATAACCTTGTCCATACGTTTGTTTCAAACAAATTTCACCTTATAAACCGGACCATAACCACCCTAACCAAGCTCATTTTCAATTGAAAATCCATCTGTGGCCACCTCAATGTCTGAAAAGCCAAATACTTGCAAATCAGGAGCATTGCCAAGAAAAAGTTCTGCACCTTCCTTATTTACTTCAGACCTAGAATCTCCAGCAGCTTTAACCAACTCTGTAGATAGATTCAACTATCAATATGTCAGTGCTTTAAAGTCTTAAACCATCTTGGTTACAGACACAGTAATATCAGTAATAACGGTTCACAAGAGAATGAAAAAACTGAAAAGATTACCGGTTGATTTGAATATTCTCTTCCTTAAGCAGAACATCACAGATCCTAATAGGAGAATAAATACTGCGATAGGAGTCAAAATAATCACCAGTAATCTACTTCTACTGTGTCCAGTGTTTTCAAATTTTTGAGCTAAGAAATTATCAGTCATATAAATTAGAAGGCTGCACATAGTTGTAGTAATCTATGAAACTGCTATGATTATACTCAAAAGGGTTTTCCACTAGCAAGTACAGAAAACAACAAATGGAGCCATACACAGAGAGTGATAAAGAGTGAAATTACGTATGTCAGTTCAAGTCATAAACCAGTCTTAATTTCAACTTTAGAACATTAAATAACAGAAAAGAAATGAGTAATCACAGAAAATTCTCTGTTCTCTAGAACATGCAACTTTCTTACCTGCTGCAGTGGAAAGCGCCCAATTGCTGTCATCATATGAAACAGCCCACACAACATAACCAAGTAGTTTCTTTTCACTTGCACAAGACACCTTAATTTTGATAGCCTCAGCATCGTCGAAATCAATCCAATTTGATCCAATTGAGAAGTAATTCACTACATAGGTAGAATTATACAGTACTGTAGCCCCATATCTCTGGATGTAAGCTTTGACGTCCTTGTAACTCACATTCCCATCATCTGTAATTGCTGGACCTGTAGCTGGTGTGCTGATTGCATTGTCCTTAGGATTCTTAAGAGTCCAGGCATATCCATAAAAAGGCAAAGACAAAACCAACTGGTTAGCAGAAACTCCTCTACCAATCCATTCCTTAATGCCAGAGTCAGTGTTCACATCACTTGAAGGGTCATACAAAGCAGCATGAGCACCAGTAAATTTTGCCCACGTTGGCGAGTAGTAATCATAAGCCAAAACATGCATCCAGTTCAAGTTGCTTCTGATTGATTCCACTGGGTAGGATCCAAAAACCGAACCTGACCCGAATTGAACAGCTGCAGTCAAGATCAATTCCGGGTCACTGGTGTTTTGAGCCTCAGAATTTGCAGCTTCTCGCCACTCTTGAAAAAGCTTTCCCATGTTGTTCATGTCAGAGCTTGTGTTAGCAGAACCCAGGATAGGTCAAGCCCTTGAAACCCGTAAGACCTAGCGATTCTTATAGAAGACTGAATGAAAGATCTCCTAGAAGAAACGATGCTTACCAGGGTGGATAACACAGAGTAATTGGCCAGCCCACCTCCAATGGAGAGAAGCGTAATGACTGATGGGTTCTTTCGTTGTACAGTGGTCGTGAAAGTAGAGAAGGATTGCTTGTCATCTGAAGCAACATAAAGCTCGTTGGACGAAGAGTTAACATTCGCGAAGGCGCAAATGAGGTGGGTGAAGAGATTAGAGTTAATGTCAGAGACTGAAAATCCACTACCAGAAAACCAGTAAGCGGATTGAACCCATGAAGATTGTGCTTGTGATGCTGGAAATTGTGAGAGAAGAAGAACGTGGAGGATCAGAACAGACGTGACCGCGAACATGAAGGGAAGTTTTTTAACTGACTTAGAGCTCAAACTCGTAGTTTGCAAGCGGAGCCTGGTTTGAATTGGAGAAGGAAATTGCGCGAAGAACATAGAAATAAACAAAACACCACACTTTCTTTGACCCGTGCAGGTGGTGGTGTTGTCACTTTTTTTCATTTCATAAATGACAAAGGGTTTTTGAACAAAACATCTTCGGGCTGGAAAGGAAAAATCCAAGTGCCACTGCGTGCTTCCAGAACCTAACATGTTTATATCAAAGGCTTGATAAAATTTGAAAAGGCTTCTTTTGCAATTAAGTCTTTCAGTAAAAATATGAAATTGACCCTTGTAAATTCAATCTCGATAATTCATAAATATTATTTCTTTTAACAAATATAAACCACCTCAACTATATGATAAAAAATAAATAGTTTAAATCAATGAATTTTGAATGTTGTTTACAGAGTTTCTATTATAATTTTATATAAGTAACTTGTAAATTTCATCCCCCAAAATAAGTATAAACTATGTGAACTATGTAAATTGAACGAATATTTTATTATTAATAAATAGACTTTAAATATTATTTACAAAGTTTCTATTATAAGTATCATTTGAGTAACTTATAAATTTTCTACAAGTGTAAATCACATGGACAAAGTGAAGTAAACAAACATTTTGTCATTAATAAATAAACTTTAAATATTATTTATGAATTTTTTGTGTATTTCACTAAGGACAATTTGATCGTTTTGTTGAAAAACTTAATTAAGAAGGGCCTTTGGGGCCTACAGATTATTTTAAATTCTATTGAGTTTAATAATATGTTGGTTCTAAAAACCTGCCATGCAGTCCTCCCAAATTTGATTTTGTATAACTTTTACTTCCTTTGATCCTATTAAAAAGAAAGAGATAATCAGCTCATTAAATTTTTATCACAGATTTTCTCATTTTCCCTCCATTAAATGTTAGAAAAACAAAATATGTTATTAAAATATATATATTTAATAAAAATAAAATTATTAAATTTTTAAATTTTTAAATAATGTTAATAAATTTTAAAATTTTTCTTAATTCTAGTGAAATATATTGGAAGTCACTTATATAATAATTGATAATAATATAAATGCAATTCAGCAAAATATATTACCTATAAAAACCTTACTATAACTAATGATCTTCTTATTATATTAAAGGACCCTAATTGCCCATAAACTCAGTGATTTAAAAATCAAACTGAACCTATTGGTTCAACCGATTGAATTGAGAATTGGCTCTTGATTCAATTTGGTTGACCCTTCAAAATTGGCCACAAGGGAATCGATCAATAACTGAAAAAATTAGTTGAAAGCAAGACAGGTTCCCTTAAAAACCAAACTAAAAACATTAAAAATTTTAAAAAATAATTTAAAAATTAATTAAAACAAAGAACAGCCAAGAATAATTAATATTAATAATGCATTCATCAATAATAGCTCATTTTATCAAGTATTTATTAATATTTTTTAAAAAAATATAAATATTTGCATGTATTTCTTATTTAATTGTAATGCATAAATTAAAAATTTATTAATTTAATGTCAACCAATTCAACCACAGTTGAACTAATGAATTATGAACTAGTGGTTAATTCAATTCTATGATCGATCTTATTTTTAAAACCTTGCCTAGACTATAACTATTTCTTTATTTCCATGCAAATTATTGTAGAATTTTCTATCCAAAAAACTTCTTGTTTTATGTTTTTTTTCTCTAGAATAATGAAATTTTAAGTCTCTAAAGTTTACATCAGTGATTTGATTTTTTAAGTTTAATTTTTATGAATTTTTTTTCTTACATTTTCTTAAATTATCATTGTAGTCCATTAAGTTTTAAAATACAAATTGAATTTTAAATTAATCTACATATAAAATAAATCAATAAGTAGTTAAATGGGAATACATTAGCTCTCAAATTAATTTAATTTTTATCATCTAGTCTTTTAGGATATTTTTTAAAAAATAAAAAAAATTCTAAGGTTATTTTTTCCTACCTAAATAATTACATTTTTTCATTAATCTACACTACTATCAATAATATTCTAATATTTATGTTAGAAGATTGCTATCTAATTTTTGAACAATAAGAATCAAATTAACAATTAAGGCTGACTTAAGAAATTAAATCATTAAAAAATTAAACTAAATAAATTAAATTAATAACTAAGACAAATTTAAAAGATTGAAAGTTTTATTATTCATTTTTATTTTCACACAATGTACTCCCTCCGTTCAAAAATGTAAGGTATTTTTAAGAGTTAAATGATAAAAAATGTAAGACATTTTTAGTCATTTAAGGTGTAATCATTACCTTTTTTAAAAAGTGTCCCTATTGATAATAATTTTATATTTATTGTAGGGTGTTTGATAGAGATAAATATGAAAATGTAAAGTTAGTTAGAAAGTAAGTAACTATTTTATTGGAGGTTGAAATTTGATTAAAATATCTTATATTTTTTAACGGGGATAGTACTTTAGAATTCGTGATCTTGTTCACATTGAAGATAAAAAAAATATTATTTCAAGATATATGATCCTCGTGTAAATTAAAATTTAAATAAGTATTTTATTTTAAAATTTTTACATTGTGCATATAAATAACCACCTTTTTTCATCACAAGTTACAAATATACTTTTTTTAACAATAAGTCCTCCATCCACCATCCGTTTTTCATTACAAATGACAAGCCCCATTCCCACTGTATTTACATTGTGGGTCCTACAATTTTCCAACTTAATCTAATTAGATAAAAAATTAAATAAAAAATCAAAACAAAATTGGGTCATTAATTTAAAATGGATAAAGATAAAGGGAAATGAAGAAAATATATTCTATTATACGCAAATGACAATTAAATAACACAAAATGTGATAATTATTTTTTAATTCTTGAAAACTTGCCTGAAATTTTTTGTAAAATGCCATATTTGTTCCTACAAAAAAAAAAAGATTATTTATCTTAACAAATCAGTGACATCTTTGCTTTGAAAAATGACTACTTTTCTTAGAAAAATGACATTTCTCAAAAGAAAGTGGTAAGTGATTTTTAATTGTTAGACTTCATTGATAAAAAAAATTGTGCAAAGTAAATTGTAATTGAGAAAATTACGTATAGGTTTCATAAAGCAAACTTATTTATAAATAAGTCTCACAAAATTTTTAAACAAAGCTAAGTCTCTTGGCACCTGAATTAAATTTGAAATTAGAATGTAAAAATAATAATACCTCTATTAAAATATAGTACATTAAACAAAAAATTTACAACTACTTCATCATTAATTTACTGCTATTATTTTAACTTTTTATAATTGTAACTTTACAAATCCAGTAGTTAAATTGATCATGCATTACAAGTATGATATTAATATATACAACTATCTCATAAGTAATTTGCAACTATCATTTCAACATTTTACAATAATAATTTCACATATTTAATAGTTGAATTGATCATGCGTTGCCAACAAAGTTTAATACTAATCGTTTACAACTACCATACTAGTAATTTACAAGTCACACTTCAATATTTTACAATTATAACTTCAGTATTTTTAATAGGAACAGTATTGTCTTTTTATCCCAAATTCAAATTACACATATGTTTTAAAGGATTTGTCTGTGATTTATAAATTTTGCAAGACTTATTTATAAATAAGTATGCTCCACAACATCTATACATAAGTTTTTCCTTATAATGTGTTATTCCATTATAGTCATTTCTTCAACAATAGTAGTCATTTTCTAAAAGAAAATAGTAATTCATGCTTAATTGTTGGACTTCACTAATAAAAACTTTGCACAGAGTAAGTTATACTTTATTACTTTGTTTTAGTCATTTATTCAAAAAAAAATAGCCATTTCTCGAAACAAAAGAGTTACTGATTTTTAGTTGTTAGAGTTTACTGGTAAAAAATTTTCATACAACAACTTGTATTTTGTTATTTCTTTTTGTCACTTTCCCAAGAAAAATAGTTATTTCTCAAAACAAAACAGTCACCTATTAACTAGGATAAGATAACTATCTTTACAAGGGCAAATATGTTATTTCATACAAAAACAGCCAAACAAGTTCTCGAAGATTAGAAAATAACTACTACATTTTTTGGTATCTTGTTATCATGTATATATTTTGAAGGTATTTTTCTATATTTTCCTTGACCATAAAGATTATTCTAATAAACTTTTCTATAATTTTTTATCAAAGTTAAACTTGTCTTTCTTTAATTCATATGTAAAAGTATCATCACATTTTTTGAATAAAAAGGCAAGCCAAAGCTTGAAAGAAAAAGAACAGAAAAGAAAAGAAAATGACTAGCCTCTAACAACCACTACATCAAAATTTATTTGAGATCATCCTGTGCGAAACCTAAACAAAAGGAAGGAGGAGTAAGAAGTAATACTAAGCCATAATGGCCAGCATGTGCATCTTTGGCTAGTGAGTTTGCACAATGAAATGCTTTACTTGAGTTATGATGAATCTCAATCTCTCAATTATCAAAGAGTAGATCCCTAATTTCTTCAACTTCAATTTCATTGGATGATCAA